CCCCATCCCTGCTCCTCCTCTCCCGTCGCTCCCCGCTGCCCCCGGCCCCGCCGCAGCATCGCGGGAGCCGCGGCCATTGCGGCCGAGGCGGGGCCGCTCCCGGGGCCGCTCCCGCTCTGCCCCGGCCATGGGGAGGAGGAGGAGGGCGGCGGCTCCGCGCTGAGCCCCCCTGGATGCAGCTGAGCCCCCCTGGATGCAGCTGAGCCCCCCTGGATTCTGCTGAGCCCCCCTGGATGCAGCTGAATCCCCCTGGATGCAGCTGAGCCCCCCTGGATGCAGCTGAGCCCCTCTGGATGCAGCTGAACCCCCCTGGATTCTGCTGAGCCCCCCAGGACTGTCGGGGCTGAACCCCCCTGGATGCTGCTGAACCCCCCTGGATGCAGCTGAGCCCCCCTGGATGCTGCTGAACCCCCCTGGATGCAGCTGAGCCCCCCTGGATGCTGCTGAATCCCCCTGGATGCAGCTGAACCCCCCTGGATTCTGCTGAGCCCTCCTGGATGCTGCTGAGCTCCCCTGGATGCTGCTGAGCCCCCCAGGACTGTCGGGGCTGAACCCCCGGGTGGTGCTGAGCCCTCCAGGACCCTGCTGAGCCCCGGACTGGAGCTGCTGAACGACCCCGGGCACGGCTGAGCCCCCCGGACTCTGCTGATCCCCCCGGACTCTGCTGAGCCCTCCAGGACCCTGCTGAGCCCCGGACTGGAGCTGCTGAACGACCCCGGGCAGGGCTGAGCCCCCCGGGCAGGGCTGAGCCCCCCGGACTCTGCTGAGCCCCCCGGGCACGGCTGATCCCCCCGGACTCTGCTGAGCCCCCCGGACTCTGCTGAGCCCCCCGGGCACGGCTGAGCCCCCCGGGCAGGGCTGAGCCCCCCGGACTCTGCTGAGCCCCCCGTGCGGTTCTGAGCTCGCGGCTCCGCCGCCGGTGAGGCCGGGAGGGTCCGTGCCGGGCTCCCCCCGCTCCTTCAGCCCCGGCTCCATTATCCCGGGAATCCCCTCGCTCCGGCTCCGTTATCCCGGGAATCTCCTCGCTCCCAACCCCATTATCCGGAAGGATCTCCCGGCTCCGTTATCCCGAGGATCCCCTCGCTCCGGCTCCGTTATCCTGAGGAATCTCTCTCTCCCGGCTCCGTTATCCCGGGGATCCCTCGCTCCGGCTCCGTTATCCCGAGGAATCTCTCTCTCCCGGCTCCGTTATCCCGAGGAATCTCTCTCTCCCGGCTCCGTTATCCCGGGGATCCCTCGCTCCGGCTCCGTTATCCCGGGGATCCCTCGCTCCGGCTCCGTTATCCCGGGGATCCCTCGCTCCGGCTCCGTTATCCCAGCCCGGTCCCGGCTTTCCGGGAGCTCTCCTTAATCCGGGCTCAGCCGGGCGGGCGATGCGTGCCCGGCCCTGACCCGGCCCGGCCGGGATCCGCTCGGGAGCTGCCCCGGGAGCGCCGCCGGGAGGATCCAAAAATCCCTGGAAAACCGCGCCGAGGCTGCCGCTGGTATGGAGCGTTATCCCTTCATCCCTGCCTTTTCCTGGAACGGCGCTGAGGGATGTCAGCATTCCCGGGAATAACGGCTGGGGTTCTGGATTGCAACCCTAGGCTTCCCTGGAATTCTGCTGCGGGCTTCCAGGATTCCCTGGAATTCTGCTTTGGGCTGCCAGGATTCCCTGGAATTCTCGATTGGGCTGCCAGGATTCCCTGGAATTCTGCTTTGGGCTGCCAGGATTCCCTGGAATTCTGCTTTGGGCTGTCAGGATTCCCTGGAATAGCACTTAGGGTTGTGGATTTCAGCTGTGGGTTTCCCTGGAATTGCATTTGGGGCTGTCAGGATTCCCTGGAATTCTCGATTGGGCTGCCAGGATTCCCTGGAATTCTGCTTTGGGCTTTGAGCTGCCAGGATTCCCTGGAATTCTGCTTTGGGCTGTCAGGATTCCCTGGAATGTTTAGGACCATCAGGATTCCCTGGAATTCTGCCCTGGGCTGTCAGGATTCCCTGGAATCTCGCCTGGGGCTCTTCCAGCCGCAGGTTTCCCAGGAAGCGCCTCAGCCTCGCTGCTTCCCGTTTTTTCCCGGTGCTTTTTCCCAGTGATGCACCGGGATGATTCCGCTGAAATTCCACTGAAATTCCCCTGAAATTCCATTTCAATCCCGCGTGGCAATAAGGATAGAAACATCCCACGCTGCTGGAAGTGGGATTTGGCTCGGCTGGTAAAAACTGGGATTTTCCCAGAAAATCCTAAAGTTGGGATGCCCACTGCTTTCCCAGGAATTGGGAGAAAACCCCTTCCGAGCTGGCAGAAAATCGAGATTATTTTCCATTTTTTCATTAGAAACGGAATCAATCTGAATGGATAAAGAGAAAAT